AAAAAAAAAAAAAAAAAAAAAAAGGAAGGACAATGCTCCCCATGAATAAATTATATCACCCACCTTATCCATATCCCATCTTCTCTCTCCATCGCTTCGATCTCCTTCTGCCTGCACCTCCCTCTCTTCGACTTACTTCGCTAGCGGACACCTCCCTCTCTCAGCGAACACTCGCACACGACGAGGAGGACTGTCCTAGAAAGCATCTGCATCTGGTCCCAATAGTGACCAGATGCCACATTCACTCCAAAAAACACAGGCCACGAAAAACTGTGACTTCTATCCTCAGTAGTAATTATATTTACAGTACACATCAGTTCCTCCTCCTCCTCCTCCTCCTCCTCCTCCCTCCTCCTCCTCTCAAGATCATCCCCTCCGCTTCTTCTCTGCCATGTCCGAACCACGATCGAAGTAAGACTTATCGATGGTTGTCTTCTCAGTCCAGGTCAGCCTGCCATCACCGAGGACATGTCCCGGAGGCATCAGCGCAAATTGATCGCCCTCCTCCATCTGCCTCTCCCTCGCCCGCTCCCGCTCCCCCTCCCCCCCCCCCCCCCCGCCCCCCGCCCTCCCCCTCTTCTCTTTCTTATCCCTTCTTCGCTTGCAGCATACCATAATTAAAATTATGACAGTTAATACCACAAAGCACCCTCCTACTGCGCCGACGAAGATGATTACCGTCTGCCCAGTATGGCTGTTGTATCTTGCACCAATCAAGCGGCGAGGACGATGAAGGAAATCAAGTTGAAAGTGTTCTGAATCTGAATCATCTGGATGGCCATTGTCACGTTGTTCAGAAGCGCCAGAGTCTCCGCGAAAGTCCTCCTCCCCCGTCTTCTCCTCCTCCTCCTCCTCCTCCTCCCCCCTCTTGTCCTCGAAGTCGTGACGACGGCGCTGTGAGGCGGACATGGTGGCAGAAAGAAGACGGCTTCGCTGAATCGCTGTGCGTGGCAGTGACTTGTAGGGCTGCTGCAAGTCTAGATCTGGACTCGTCAGGTCCCCCCCAGGGTCCCGTCGCTGCGCAGCCACCACCACCACTGCCAATCCGACCAACAACCAGAACAGGACAAGCAGCACAGCTGTTGCCAAGCTGCGATTGTGAAGTCCATACTCCACCCATTGCCGCGCACTGCCCTCTGACGCACCCATCTCTCTCTCTCTCTCTCTCTCTCTCTCTCTCTCTCTCTCTCTCTCTCTCTCTCTCTCT